AATAAATATATATATATATTTATTGTTTGCATTTATAAAAAAAAGATGAAAAAGATCACACAATCCTGATAATAATTTCAATAAAATTGATTGGAACATTTTTTTTCCCTTTTTTTTTCTTTTTAAATTACATACTTAAGATATTTTTAATTAGCCGAAAAAAAAAACGAAACAAAGGAAAACTATATTAATTTACATATTTTATATTTTTATTACATATTTGAAATGCTACAAATATTTTTTTTTAATCATAAAAATCTTTAATAGTAGCAAAACTTTTAAATGATAATTGATTTGCCGAATTAATTTTACTAATTAATTTTGCTGATTTATAAATTATTAAATTATCTATCATTTGCATCGTTTACCTTTTTTATCATTCATATTTTCCTTTTTTGATCAATAAATCATTACTAAAATCTTCTTACCTTTCGCTGAAAAACAAAAAAAGAAAAGAAAAAAAGAAACAGATCCAATAATAAAATGATATCATCTGTTTGTTACAGTAATTGATATCATCTATTACAAATACAATTTTCATCAAATTATCTTTCGGCAATTATTTTTCAATTAATGTTTGTATAAAATCAACTATCCAACATATCAAATTATCGATTCTAAATTCAAAAAAAAAAAAAAACTAGATCCAATAATGAAAATGATATCATTTATTTGTTACAATATCCTATACCATATCATATTTACAGTAACCTTTATCCTATAAATTTAATTATCATTTTGATCATTTTTATCAAATATTTCATGATTGATAATGTTATGAATAGCTTCTTTGATTTTTATATCGAATATCGATTTTTAATCTTTTCCTACCTTTCGTACCTTTCATTTTTTCTTTTTTCCCTCCAATTGATAGATTTTATCACTGGAATCTTCTTGTCCTTCTTTATCATCTAATCCATAGAGTTGATAAAGGTTTGTTTTTCTTTCAATCAATAGATTATCACTAGAATAGCTTATCACTAGAATGTTCTTGTCCTTCTCTATCATCTAAATCATAAAATTTGTGGAGATCAGTTTTTTTCCAAAAATCTATCCTAAAGTAGAAGGAAATAACAATATTACTCTCTTCTTAACAACGATATTTTCATTGTTTACCCAATTCTTTTATAAAAAAAAAAAAAAAAACTTTGAGAAAGTTATAAATTATTCTAAAGGAAGTGAAAAATTTCATTTGAAATCCTGTCATTTCAATAGAATTTTTTAATTGAATTTCGAAAAACAAATAACTCATTTGTTGTCAAATGGAAAAAACAATAAATAAAATCACATACTTCATATTTATAATTAATAAATTTTATTTCGTTTCAGTAATTATTTTATTAAGTACTATATTTTAAATTCATATTTAATGCATGTTTATTATCTCAGCAATTATCTTAAGCAAAAAAAAAAGTTATAATTATATATGCATACAATTAATGGAATAGTTATTTTCGAATGAAACAAAAATTTACCTAAATGAGGCAATAAAATTTTTAAATTTTATTTCGTTTTTTTTTGTTTAAATTTTATTTCATTTTTTTTTCTTTTGTTGTTTTTTCTTCCTTTTTTTCTTTATCATTTTGCAAAATATATTATTTTATCCAATTTATTTTATTCATTTTAATTAAATGAAATTAATTAATCGTTTTCAAAAAAAAAAAATTATTATTTTATCCAATTTACTTCATTCAATTATCTTTTTCATTTAAATTAAATGAAATTAATCCTTTTCAAAAAATTATTTTCGTATTTGAATTTAATTTTCTTTTATTTTTTATTTTAAAAAATAAATATATTTACGTATTATTTTAAATATTTCCATAAGCAAATATCCTGTTAATACTTTCATTTTTTTTTTTTTTTTGTAAATTGTAAAATTGTTACTTTTTTAATTTATTGTCGTCAATTATTTTCCCTTCGCCGTACATTTTAATTATCATCGTGTATTACCGTTCGCATTTAAAAAAAAAAAAGGAAAAAAATTTTAATGTATTTTTTTATTTGCAGAACTAATTGAATATTTTTACAACAACCATACACAGATAATTAATGCTAATTATGGCGTCATTGACGTTAACATTTAATAGCTACTACTATTATTATTATTATTATCATTGCTATTATTAATTATTATTATTCGTAATATTGAATGAAGCTAAGGAAACGATAATTATTATCATTATCTGATATTTACAACATCTGATCATCTGTTCAGTATTTTATTTCTGCAGTACGCAATATAACACGTAAATTGCGCGCATATATTCAGTAATACTGCTGCATGCTGCATGCATTCATAATGCCACGTGAACAATATGGACGTTTTAATGCAAATGTAAACGCAAATGCATATATTTCGGAACAAATTCGTAATGAAATTCAACGTTTCGAAAGTGTTCATCCATGTATTTATACGGTTTATGATTTGATCGAATTAATTCCGGATCAATTACTCCAGAATCAATTACGTGATCAAGTGGTTTGCATTGAAGGTTAGTTGTTTTCGTTTTTTTTTTTTATCTGCATGCTTTTTAAAGATGTACATATTCATTTTGAATGAATTATTTAATACCGGAAATAACTTCAATATTTTATTTCCGTAATGCAAATAAAATTTATTGATAGATAAATTTTGAAATGTTAGCTGATATGATATCGCAAATTAAATTTGATAGGTAAATATTCGAAATGTTAGCTGATATGATATCGCAAATTAAATTTGATAGGTAAATATTCGAAATGTTAACTGATATGATATCGCAAATTAAATTTGATAGGTAAATATTCGAAATGTTAGCTGATATGAT